CATTGTACTTCGTTCCAGTTACGTATTGCTGAATGGTGGTCGACGACCCTGGCAGTGATGTTGAGAGTGAGGTGGTTGACGACCCTGGCAGTGATGATGAGAGTGGAGGTATGACGACTCTGGCAGGAGAAGAGTGGAGGTGGTTGGACGACCCTGGCAGTGATGTTGAGAGGAGGTGGTTGGACGACCCTGGCAGTGAGAAGAGTGAAGTGGTTGGATTTGACCTGGCAGTGATGATGAGAGGGGAGGTGGCTGACGACTCTGGCAGTGAGAAGAGTGAGGTGGTTGACGACCCTGGCAGTGAGAAGAGTGAGGTGGTTGACGACCCTGGCACTGATGATGAGAGTGAGGTGGCTGACAACCCTGGCAGTGAGAAGAGTGAGGTGGCTGACGACCCTACCAGTTATGATGAGAGCGAGGTGGCTGACGACCCTGGCAGTGATGATGAGAGTGAGGTGGTTGACGACTCTGGCAGTGAGAAGAGTGAGGTGGCTGACGGCCCTGGCAGTGATGATGAAAGTGAGGTGGCTAACGACCCCAGCCTCCTCTCACCCAAGTAAACCTTCACCCTCTTCCCTAATGCCAACTTCAGAAAGCAAGCAACACAGCACACCAGAGGTAAATTTACAGTATGTTTAAACTTGCCTCACACACCTGCGCACATAAACATTCAAACACTCGCACTCAAGCATATAAAGTACCCCTGTATACTTTACTTGTAAACAGATACGCCTAATATACTCAAAGTGTTTGTTATTGATGTTTATTTGATATTATGCCCTTGTTTCTTTATTTATTTTATGTTCTATATGTATTGAATAAAACAAGTGTTAAAATCTGACGGTCGTGACCACCGTGATGCCTGTATCCCCCCATTTACATTATTTCTTATGGGACAAATTAATCCGCTATTCACAATTTCGATGTTCGCAACGAGTTTCATGCCCGTAACCTTTGTGATAAGTGAGGCAGCCCTGTACATTTGAGTACAAGTTGTGATAATTTATGTGTTATGGTTGCAATTGCAAAGCTTCGTGACATCACTAGTGTATAATACGTTTCCATATGCCCTGGTTTATTCATTGATCAGTTGTTTAAGTGCAAAATTATAAATTGAAATGTTATAAGACAATAGTTTAGTAGTGCTGAAATGGGTTCTGCTCCTGAGGACGTTCTGAAGTAAAAAAATATACGTAAGTTGAAACACATGCTTTCTGTTTTTTTTTTTTTTTTTTTTTCCCCGGGAATAGCCCACCCGGTCACAGGTCATCGACCCACAACGGCGGCCTGGGGACCCAAAATATAAGAGTAAAAAGAAATTAGAAATTGAAGAGAAAAAGACTATTAATCTACACCACGAAGATGCTGGACAACCAGCTTTTTGAAGTGAGACATTGTAAGAGTATGGAAACACAGAAGAAGCCAGAGCATTCCACAGTTTGGTTGTGTGAGGAAAGAAGGATGTACTATAACGGGTTATTCTAGTGTGACCGACATCCACAGAGAAACGGTGGGCACCGCAGGCAAGACAAATGTTACGAGCCCACGGCCTTGCCAGAGTTACACAGGATGTCAAATGCATGGCACATTGCCCGTTAAAGTACCTGTAAAAGAGAGAGACTGAAGCAACATTGCGGCGAAGAGAAAGGAAAGAAATTAACAACTAAAGGAGGGGAGTTAATAAGACGAAATGCCTTTGATTCCACCCTATCTAACAGCTGGACAGAAGAAGAGCCACCCCAGATATGAGAGCAGTACTCCAAGTTAGGAAAAATGAATCCCTCAGGAGTGAAGTAGCTACGGCATCTGTACAGCATTCCCAGCTTTCGGGAGGCACCTTTAGCAATGTTGAGGATGTGTGGCTTCCATGACATATTAGAGAAACTGGTGAGGCCTTGCATATCTATTTTAGAATTTGGCAGAATGATAGCGTCCTGAAATACGATTGGTGGGAGATCATCTGATTTGGAAAGTGTGATTGGTAAATACTGAGTTTTATTACTATTGAATTTATCCAAGTTTCTACCCCCCCATTCGGAGATGCAGCACAGATCCGCATTGATAGATGAAATGATATCAGCTCTAGAAACAGATCTAGTTTGAGAATTAGGGGGAAGGGGGAAATGTGAAGAAGAGTGAAGAGTAGAATCATCAGCATAAGAATGGATAGAATTAGTAGTAGTGTGAAGTAAATCATTGATAAAATGAAGGAAGAGAGTAGGTGAAATAATAGAACCCTGTGGGACACCACCATTGGTAGAGAAAGAGCGAGAGATCAATCCCTCGACAACAACTGCCATGGATCGGTTCTCAAGAAAGCTAGAGATTAGAGAACTAAGTGGGGGAGAGAAACCATAAGAGGGAAGTTTAGAAAGCAAAGACTTGTCAAATGCTTTGGAGATGTCGAGGGCCACGGCGAAAGTTTCCCCATAATCCCTAAGAGAGGATGACCAAAGATGGGTGCAGTAGGAGAGCAGATTACCAGTAGATCTCGCCTGGCGAAAGCTATACTGGTGATCCGACAAAAGAGAAAGGCATTCAAGGTAACGGAGAAAATGAGAGTTTAAGATAGTTTCGAAAATCTTAGAGGGGAATGAAGCTAGGGTAATGGGGCGATTGTTAAGAATGATTTTAGTGGTCACTCTTCTTCGGGATGGGCTGAACCGAGGCATGCTTCCAAGAAGAAGGAAAAGTATGGGTTTTGAGGCAAAGGCGAAAGAGGCGAGCAAGCACAGGGGCCACGGCTTCAGCACAATCCCTCAGAACTCGAGGGTGTATTCCGTCCGGTCCAAGCGCCTTACTCACATCCAACCTGGATAACACACCAGCAATCCTACTGTAGGTTCAGTAGGAGGAGCAGGAGTAGGAGGGGTAGAGTTGGAATCGTCAAAGGTGGATTTAGAGGACAATAAGGTACCAAAGAGATTGGCTTAATCAAGGGAAGAATTGGCTATAGAGTTATCAGATCGGAGGGAAGAGGAAAAGAGGGAGTGCAGAAGTTATTACAGATGTTTTTGGTTAAGGACCAGAAGGATTTACTAGAGGAAGAATTAGTCCGGTCAGTGGTCTTTATTTTTATACAATACCGCTTGGCCCTACGAAGAATAACCTGAGTAACAGGAGGATATAGTTTCACAACTTGACACACCCTATCTCTCTCCCTACATGCAAGAGAACAGGAGCGATCAAACCATGATTGTAAAGTGCATGTGGTACTTACAAAACAATGTTTAAAATTCCACTATATCATAACCTAAGTCCTTATATGCATCTCAAATCACTTAATTTAAGAAGAAATGGAATAAAATTCAGTAAGTGAATGTACAGATAAGTCATCAGGAAAAAAAAAAAAAAAAAAAAAAAAAAAAAAAAAAAATATATATATATATATATATATATATATATATATATATATATATATATATATATATATATATATATATATATATATATGCAAGTAAATCACTGTGGTTGCGTTGATCTAGGTATATGCTGATAACACAAGGAAAACACGAAGTTCCCAAGCTTTCATGTAATTCAGAAAGTTCAGAGTAATCATGGGCCGATTTTTCGAACTCAAAAAAAAAAATCGCCTCCGTATGACACACCCTATTAGCCCACCCGGGCACAGGTCACTGACCCACATCGGGGCATGGGGGGCGAAAATTTAATAATAATAGTAATTCATAGTAAATAAAACTTATAATAAAAAGTAAAATAAAATAATAATAATAATAATAATAATAATAATAATAATAATAATAACACCGTAATAATGATAATAAAGAAAAGAAAAACAATAATCAATAGTGAGAAATGCCATATGTATGTACAGTATGTTGTGTTGTCAAAAGTACGAGAAACAATTGAGATCCTGCAATTGTGTGTAGATAAGGCAGAAAGACAGATCAGCAACCAGGGACTTGGTCACAATATTCGTGATGCCATATGGCAGCAGGGTCTACCATTAGACAACACATTATGTTTCCAATATCTTCCCAGGCGGTAGTACCCCCCTGTTTGATAGCTGCCTGCTACCTACTACCTATATATATATATATATATATATATATATATATATATATATATATATATATATATATATATATATATATATATATATATATATATATATATATATATATATATATATATATACTATATATATATATACATATATATATATATATATATATATATATATATATATATATATATATATATATATATATATATACATATATATATATATATGTAATATTCAGAAATTTCAAATGCCCCGCCATTAGCGATACTGAGCGTTCAAGGTCGTCTGAGGGAAGAGAGCGCTCCCTGCCCATAGCGAGAGGTTGTGGAACTAGGCCTAAGTGATATTAAATGTAATTTGCCGAATTAATAATGATGCGATTCATGAAGTTAAGGGACTATTATTGAATTTGAAATTATTATAGATCGTTTATCAGTCTGAATAATGTTACGGGTGTCCCAAGGAGTTATTAGTTAGGCGGAAAATATGTCACATAGGCCTAAGCTAACGCCTTGAGAGGAGACGCGACGCTGGCTGGTCCTCAGTCACGGGGAGCATTCAGACAGACAAGACGTCCCTGTGGGTCCGTCACAGAAATAGTCACGTGGCCTAGTCACCTGTGCTGCGCTATTGCAGTATAACAAGTAAGTCTCATTCGATCCCAGACAGGGTTAGATAGGGCAGTGGTAAAGTAAACTAGAGCTAACAGTGAGTTCATTTCAGGGTTTCCGTCAGAACCCACTTGACTGGAGTTTGACCGGAGTTGACCGGAGTTTGACTGCGAGAGATTGACTGCCGTTTGAGACTGCCGTTGATGATTGAGGGTGGCGATTGTCGCCATTGGACCGATCAGTGTAGGCCTGTCACTGTTTAGCGGGGTATCAAAGGATCTCTTGAGGGAATCTAGCCGTCTGGGTGCCCAGCTGACGACGGGACGATCGTTGGGGTCATCAGCTCTCCTCTACCTCGGCTCACAACCCCACATGTCTCGAGCAGCTTAGTGAAACCCTCTTGCTAACGGGAAGCTAAAGCTTCTCTCAACTGTACAAGGTCTGATTGGCTCACTCCCTTCCGCTTTATGGACGCACTGGGAGTACACTGAGGCTATCTGAGTAAATTAATGGTCACACACTGAGACCATGAGTCTAGGACTCTAGGAGATACCTAGAGGAACATTTTATCTCCCTTATTACGGGTGTATGTTGAGTTGGGTGGAGCATGGTTCACGAGTATTGGTGGACCCAGTAACATATTAATAATAGTGAATATATTTGGGTGTAGTTAATACCATTTCTCAGTTACTGATATTATCTTGACGTGTGTAGTTTAATATTTCTTAAATAATTTTGATAGTAGTGTTTTTTGAATGTTTGTGTCATTAAGTGGAGCCAGAGTGATACTGTGATTTGATTCTTTTAATGCATCTAATTTTTCTCCATAATTCTGATCTCAGGTATAACCTTTGTTCCCCAGAGTAGTGGTTAAGTTAGGTTAGGAAGAGTGCATCTGTTGGGGTGATATAATTTTGTTGAG